AAAGTATTTTCTGTACAAATATTCGTTTTGAAAGAAATATAAATTTTGAATTGAACAACAATAAGTGTTTTCTTTTTGTTTAGCTATACCAGCATATTTCTGTACTTTATCCAAATCGTCTGTTTCATCGAGAAAAGTTTTAAACAGTAAGAAGAAAATTGTTTATTTTTAATAAAATAACCGAATAGTATTATTCTGTTGAATAGCAGATAAAAATTGAAAAGTATAAGTCTTTTATCAATAAAGACCAAGTTTAATACTTTAGTAATTGGTTTAATAAATATGCGACTTATTAAAAAGGAATTTCCAATTAATGAATTTTTCAGGTTTTCTCGCTTTATACACTTTAACTTATGCATAATATGCAGTGGCATATGTAATTTGATGGAAATTTCGGATTAATAAGAACAAATTGGTTATCGTTTGTGCAGTGAATAATTTCGTGACATTAATTTTGGAAGCGAAAATTTGCATCAGATTTTCAACACCGATGCCAGTGCTGCCATATCATGTTCCGAAAACTTTGAAACATCTCAATGTCACTTGTAAGTTATATTAGACTCAATAATTCGAATTAAGAGAAAATAATTTAAATGAGGTAGCTTGATTCGAAACTTAAGTCGTAATATTTTTTAAAGCTTGCTATGATTCTATTTTCAAACTTTTCATTCTGGTAAATCTTGCTTTAAGTTGATAATGTTACTCTTGTTTCTTATACTAAAACCTGTCATAATTTGATAGCAATAAATGGATATTTAGATGAGTTTTATAACTATCTCAATAACCAAATTAAATTAATGTTGAATTTAGCGTTTATTAAATTACTAGTATCATCATTATTATATTAGTTAAAATGCTTATAATTCAATAGTAAGGGCGACTAATTCAGTGGTTAAATCACTGAATTATTACTGGATTGAAATTAAAATTTATGCTTTTGTTTTATTTCTAAAATCGTTCAGATGAGTTTTGAAATAGCTAATACATTTTGTCCTTACTAACATTTGTCCATCTATTAATTTTTTTATTAATTTTTATCTTAATAAATGAATAAATGTGATCCTTTTCTTTTGAATAAAACTGAGTATTCATTTAGTAAGAGCTACTTCCTAATCATTAATCAATTATCACTCCTTCCTTAATACAAGTTCAAAATCTTAAGATATTAAATTGAATTTGAATAAAACATCAAATTTTTGAGGTTTATTCATGTATGCAACAAAATTGCAATATTTGATATCACAATTTCAAAAATTTCCATCCCACCGATTGTATGCGAAATGTCAATGTCAGGGCCTTGAATTTTTTCCTTTTTTTTAAATAACATTTCGTATAAAACTATTTTCTTCTTGTGAATATAAAAGAAAATTGTGGAATGCTATCATTTTGTTCTTGAAAATCAAAAAAACAAAATTTTGGGGAGAAAAACATTTCAACTTGAATAGATAAGATAACTCTTGGATTTTTTTTTTCCAGCAGCTTTAACATCGGTACAAGAACTTCTTCCACAGCTAAACGGTAATCTAACGAAAGGTGAATGTGGGCGTATCGGTGTTGTTGGTGGTTCATTAATTTATACCGGAGCACCATATTTTTCAGCTATTACAGCACTAAAAGTGGTATTATATTATATTGTTGGCAAATCTTTACATTATTTATTCATTTAATGACTCATTAATTTACTTTCACAAGACTTATATATTCATATTCATCCTTATTGCTCATTTAATTTAACACCACTTGATTCTTCACTCGTAAATATAGCTCCATTTTTCTTTTATTCTTGTTTAATTTTTTTCCTTCTTTTTGTAAATGTTTTAATGCCTTATTTAATTTTTTTCCTTCTTGAACAGAATAATTCTAAATTTATTGAGTAAATCCAGTTAGGACATGGGGAGGAAGTATTTCAAAACCTTAGTGACTCAGTGGATAATATTAAGTTTTTATAACAATTCTTAGTTGTCCATTCCTCTCACATATAATTAAATGATATCATTTAAATGTTTGATTTTTTACTTCGTTTAATATATAAGGAGAAATAAAGAAATTTAAGAAAGAGAAATAAAGAGAAAATTAAGAAGGAAAATTATTTTAGATGTACTTATTCTACTTCATGTTGTTAAATTTTTTCATTCCACATAAGTATAATCGATTAGAAGTGCAAATTCTAAAGTTGTTTCATTCATTTTTTTTAGGGATGTGATATGGTACATGTATTTTGTCCTGCTGAAGCAGCAAATGTAATCAAAGGATATAGTCCGGAGTTAATGGTACATCCATCATATGATAAAGATGCAATTACAGAATCACTACATCGTGTTGATGCTTTCATCGTAGGACCGGGTCTTGGAAGAGATGAAAAAACAGTATCAATCGTGGAATTTGTAATTGAATCAGCTAGGAAAAAAAATATACCTATCATTGTAGATGCGGTATGTTGTTTTTCGCTAGAGCAATATTATTATGTTTGTTTGAAATTTATTCTAGTAAAAGTTTAGCTAATAAAAAACTAGCTATTGGAAAATATTGTTTTCATTTCTAATAATGTTAAAATGATCTCATATGAAACTTATTCTTTTACATAGTAATAAGATAAATAAGGTATGTATGGATGTTAATAGAATAATATCTGGTCTTGTTTATACTTTCTTAATATAGGCAGTAGTTTGTTTTTATAAGAAAACCATTATCTAATTATCAGTAATTTATCTGTGTTTGGCTAATAGCATTTTTTTGGAATTGTTAAACTGACATTTATCACACAACTGTCTTTAAAACTTCCTTTGTTTACTACCTTTGAATTACTCTCATTTTAGTCTTATTTCTATGTTAAACTGTGCATTATGAGTATTACAATCCTTTGTTTTGTTCCCATAACTATCAATTCCAAACTAATTAATGATTAGTTAGATCTTGTCACCATCATCAAATTAATGCCATTAATTTTTCATCAAATTTAGGATGGTTTATTTTTCTTAGCCAAGAATTTGAATATTATCAGTGGTTATGAGCAAGCAATACTGACCCCAAACCATTCGGAATTCAATCGTCTCTATCAATCAGCTTTCAAAGTAGACAAAATTGATAGAGCAAAAGTTGAATCCGGTGAAGCAGCATGGGAGCTGGCTAGTCATATCGGTTGTACAATATTACAAAAAGGGCCTCATGATGTAATTACCAATGGAGAGAAACGTAAGTATAGGTGATAACTAGGTCATTTTCATTTCTGAATTTCTTAATTTAAAATTTGTAGCAGAGTCGTAGCAATTGACTTTTGTCCTTTGTCTTTAAATAGTAGTTGTACTCTGGATAATAGAGTCTTCATAATTTTAAGTTACTTATAGCAACAAACTTTGCTTAAAGTAAAATCTCTATATTAAAGTTGACACATGTTTCGTAAAAGTATAGTTATACCGCTATTGCAAGATGTGCTACATCGAATAACTAGGACCGTCTATAATAAAAACTTCATTAAATAAGTTTGAATATTAAAGTAATCCTATTTCAGTTTATCGAGAAGAATCAATTGGTTCTCCGAGACGCTGCGGTGGACAAGGGGATTTGCTCAGCGGTGCATTAGCTGTCTTCTCATATTGGGCTATCCGGTGACTTTATTTATTTATTTATTTTTTATTTTTTTTTTCAAAGTTACCAAGTGGAGATCTTCTTTCGTAATAAGGAAAAACTAGAGAGATATTAAAGATATCATACGAACTTTCTGTTCATCAATAAAAAGCTATTTGGTTATGATTCATTGCATTTGTGGAAATAAACTTGCGACATAATCATTTATAACAACTTCTTTACAGGAAAAATGATTCAGCACCAACGATTTCTTCTAGTGTTGCCGCGAGTCAGCTTATTCGTTGGGCTGCCAAAGTATCCTTTGAAAGAAATGGAAGGTCATCTACAGCAAGTGATATGATTGCAGAAATACCAGGACTAATCAGACTTTGTGAACCTTAATCATTCTTATATATTGATGCATTTGATTCAGAACATCATAGACTCTATTTTGCATGTTGCTTTCTAAAATTCAAAATAAAGAGCGCTGAATGTCACCAGATGGAACGTTCGAATTTTATCAGTTAATGAAATCATATTATCTTGATTTTCTTTAGCAGATTATAGAAAATCGTCCAAATTTCCTCTTTATATGCACTGAATATATTCGATAGTACAACATTGTAGAAAGTACAAATTTTCTACAAAATTGTTAACGAATTATGTGTAAGGGTATGTTTTATGTATTCTTCAGTTTCGAATCAAATTCGAATTCAGTGCATTCCACTATGTGTGATGTGTAAATCTTGAAGCACTGTGTATAAATGTGAGAATTTCTAGAATTTTTAACAATTATTCAATAAAGTTTTAGTTTTTTGTCGAGTTATTTTAATTTTGAGCAAGTACCAAGTAAATTGAAAAATAAACTATTTCCTACCGTTCATCTCTTCCTCTTATTATATATTATATTATTAGATGCTATATAAAGTATGCTTTCAAAATTTATCTTTATAATATTTAATCTTTTAAAGCAAGGATTTCAAATATTCATTATTATCCACTGTTTAATATTCATTCTATTGACTTTATATCTATGCACTGTGCACTTTGTTCATGATATCCATGAAGAATTGACCAAAATTCCACAATATCTTTCTAGAAATTGTTCCCAAAAAGTACTTATACTGTTTATCAACTCTCGATTTCAACAGTTAAGAATTGATTGTTATTGTTATTATCATTATTATTAATTGGTATATTATTGTTATTATTACTACTATTTTTATTATTACGAAAAACAAGAAAAAAAGAAACTTATAATCTTGTTAAATCACTAAGCTGCTAGTAATTAAATGATGAGTAATTGAATAAGAAAACTTTAACAAAAAAAATTTACTATATTACTACCGTACCAGTAAAATTTACATTCATTCCGTTAAAACTTACATCAATTCATTTAACCAGTTATTTCTATTGTTTTACTTATTTATATAAAGTCATACCAAATGAGTTCTTTTAATTTTAGGTAATTGATTGAGTAAAACAATAGTACGACGTGCCTGTCCATCAAATTCTTCAACAGCCTGCTCATAAAGTATAGCATATTTTTCAATTTTTTCCGTTGTATTTGCTATTTTTACTTCATGCTTCATATGATCCATATCTGCACGTGCTCTAAAAATGGATGATCAGGTAATTTCTGCATCACAATATCACTTTTATAAACATTTGCAAGCATGGTGATATACGATAGTGATAAATACGACCAGTTTACTACTGAAACATTTACAATAATATTGTTTGGATTATTTTACATATTCTCTTCAGCACTCAAAATATAATACTTATGGTCAGTTAGCGTACAATAATTCAAGATTTCAAATTTTAATTCTCTGAAACTCCGCCATGGCAATCACATCAAAATATGATCACACCAATCCATAAATATAGTCTTTCATACTTCTTTCAAAACTGTGTTTATTTTCCTGTTCACTTTACTTCTTTTTTTTTAAAAATAATTCCTCATAACTTTCTAAAACTATATATTTTAATTTTCGGATGATCGCATCAACAAATCACTCCGATTATTTACTTTTCCAATTTTGTTCGTTCATCTGTTAATTCCTTATATTCAACTGCGAAAAATCGTCGTAAATGCCGAATTGCTTTCCGTCCATTTAGCTAGATTAAAGAAGTAAATGATAGCATATGTGAAAATTTCCAAATGATTAAAAAATTCCTTTTTTAGGACTGCGAAATTTATTTTTAATTGTTTTTTCCAGATTTTATCAATTCTTTTTTGAAAATTTTTGCAGAAATTCTCAAATTTTCAAGAAAATATTAGCTAAGATTTGTAATTGGAATTTACTATTAAAATATATCGAGTTTTTTTCAAAAATCCTGCAAAATTCTACAAGTTTTTCAATATTAAACTATAATGTAAGGAAAAGGATTGAAATCAAAAGGAAGGAGAAAAGTAATTACATAATGATAATAAGTCTTGATATTAAATAATACGAAAAAAGTGACTGTTATTTTATATGAAGTTTGTGATAGGTTTAAATTAAATTTTTCTACTGGATCGTTTTTGAACTACTGAAATCAATTTTAATGGAGAGATTATGTGTTATGTAGTTTCGACAGATTCATCCATTCTAAAATTATTTATTTAAATTGAACAGAGTTTATTTTGTCTAAAACAGTATCTAGAGGAGTGAAAAATTAAAAAATTTTGTCGGATAGTAAAAAAAGAAATATGGGTTAAAGGTTACAAGATTCATTTCGTATGGAAGTGGTTGCAGTGAAACATTCCGCAGAATATCAGTAAAGATCTCCTAGAGAGAGATTGAGATGATATTTCTAAGGTGACAAAGTAATTTCTTACCTGGTTTTCACGTTGTACTTTGGCTAAATTTTGTGTAATAGAGATCAAAGATTGAATAGCTGTTATCTTATCAGGTGGTAAGCAACCGTACAATAAAAAAAATGCATTTGAAAGTTTTTCATATGGATTCTCATTTGGGATGTTAACAATCTGCAATATTAAATTTAACATATTCATATAATAAATCGAATAAATGCGTATCAATAAATAATTTTTACTAGCAATGCAAATAAGTTAATAATTATTTCATTTTAAAACTATATTTAATGTGAACAAACATTTACTGTATAAATTTGTTGTTTAATTTTAATCCAAATTTCCATTCCTATATTTTTTTCTTTGATCATTGGGGACAAAAAAAAAAAAACTTACTTCTCCACTAGCAATGGTACTTTTATTTTGCTGAATGCATGCTTCCAATTTTTCAACAAGTACATCATTACTTTCTTTGTAAGCATCATAATTCTTAGTGAGTGCCAGAAATTCCGGGCTCATTTGAGTTTTTTCTAAGTTACTCTGACGATCAGCAAGTTTTGACCAAAATCGTCGTATACCGCCAATCTCTGAGGCGAGAATTGTTAACCATTCAGAAATGATTTTTTTGCAAATTATTTTTTCAGTTTTTTACAAATTATTTTACTCAGTTATCCTTTTCTTCTATTCCTTTTTCTCCTTTACAATGTTATTTTTGTTAAATTTTACTATATTTTTGATTGTTCCTATAACTTTTTGAATTTAACTATTGCAAAAAGTTTTTCGTTTTAAATTAAATTTTATCTGTTTCGAAGTAGATTAATAAAAATTGGTGCAAAGATTTCTTGACATTACTCGTATTTTTTTTAGTTTGAAAAATTCAATTTCATCAAGAAAGCAATTATAAGTTTGAAATTTATACACACATATTGCGTAACAATTAATACAAAAAACGTAACAAGGAAAAAAATGCTGTAAAGACAATTTTTAATTAAAAGAAGGAGAAATTTTTTCATATTTTAATTTAGAAATTTATCTAATAAACTATTTCCAAACAGTTTCATTGCTGGCAATAATTAAACAAATCATAATCAGTAATTATACAATTATCAGGAGTTTATCAAATTATCACTTCCATTTCCATACATTTCTTAGTATCAAAAAAAGAGAAATGGTAAGTACTGCTAACTTTTCTCGCCCATATCTAACAGATTTTTATTGGAAAATAGCAACAACACTAACACTTAAATTGTTGTAACAATGATTTCATTATCAAATTCTTAATTGCTTTATAGCGAATAATTTATGCGTAGAATTAAAGAAATGAATTAATTGGAAGCAAGTAAATATAAGTTTGCTAGAAATAGTTGAGAAAAGCACACTCGAATTTTTATTTCACCAGCACTTTTTACAAAAGCTCGTTATTATTATTGCTATTATCTGTTACTACTATTGTTATTATTACCATTATCATTATCACTATTTGTTTTATTATCTGTTTTTCTAACAAATCAACGGGGCAGGGAAAGAAACATTTCGATGCGAATTTCAAAATATTACTTTTTAGAAAACATCCATTATTACTGTTGGTTGAATCAAGTTTTGTTGCAAAAATTTATTGTGCGACCTTTCCGCTGTGCTCCTTCGTCGTCCTTATTGCATGTAATTTTGCCATTCATCACGGAATGACAAAGTATTTTTTGCTTGATGGAGCAAAATGCAATGAATGAGTTGTTTTAAACATTCTTCAGTCTTCAAAACTTTTTTGTGGTTAGAAAAAAGAGAGAAAACCTTTTCAACAGAAATGTTATTTCTCATATGGACTTTATTCAGTTTCCCTTTCTTACATTATCTTAACTGTCATTTTCATTTAGTTTAAAATTACTATACTATCATTTGTTCATCATTTATTACTAATTATTACTTTGTTATTTCCATTTTATTATTATTATTATTATTATTTATCATTTGTTTGTTTTGCTTGCTCTCTAAAATTGTTTCTTAAATTTTTCTTATGTTACTTTTTTAATCTATAATTTTTTTCCCAGTTTTATGATTGAAAATTTGCCTAAATTTTGATAAAGTTATTTGTGCATTGTAATATATCAGTCAAATACAATTAAATATTTCTTATGTAAGCTTGAATAGCATAAATAAATGTAATTAACTGGTTAGAAAGAAAAATTTCATTTTATTAATCGAAATATGTTTATGTATAAATATTGTCGTTCTTAAATTGATTTGTAGTGTTGAATACTTTTCAATTGATTTTAAATATTAATTTTCATATTTCAATCAGTTTGCAAAATTGATTTTTGTTCGAATTTGTCTTAATCACCCATTATTTCTTTTTTAATTTCATTTCTGATTACATTTTTTAAAACAGTTTAAAATTTCTGGCTTATTGGAAAATTTTTCATTTCAGAGGTGAAAGAAAATGTGGTAATTTAATTTTTGTGAATTATCACTTGGTTTGAATTTGTTTAAAACGATTTATTGAGTTTGATTTATTTGGAATAGAAAAAAATGAAAAGAAGAACAATGAATAAAAGACAAAATACAAAAAAGTTTTTTCGGAATTAGTGAGAAAAAAATTAATAATAATAAATGGCTTTAATTAATAAAATGCTGACAAAGAGTAATTAATTAGTGATTTAGAAGAAATGATTTAGTCACGATAATTTGAATATTTTCTATTAACAAATATAATAATTTGTATAATTTAAAGTACAAAAACCAAATCAATCAATACTTTGACATATGAAAAGCCAAACCAGACAAAAATTTTGGATGCTTTTATGAGAATTCTGAAATAAAAACTAAATATTTTGTTTTTTTTTTTTTCATTTGCAGTCATTGTGTAGCAATGAAAAAAGACATAACTTTCGTGAAGTGGTAAAAATTCCAAGTAGCAATGGCAATATTATTTAAGAATGTTTTCGTTATTTCTTCTTTTACGATGAGATTGCAATCAGCGCTTTGGCAGATTTTCCATTGCTGCACTGATAAATTAACTAAATTCAATTTTCTTTCAAAAATGACCTTGCATTTTGTCCCACTAATTTTGTTTTAATTTTATCTTTCCTTTGCTTCTTCTGACGTTTGGAATTATTGGTAAATTGTTTAAACGTAGTTTAAACAAACCTATTTTTTGATGTTCAAATAAAAATTAAGAATTTAAAAAAGAAAAAATTTCTCCATTTTTTTAATCTTTGTTGAATAGATGATTAATTAGAAAAAGAACAAAAAACTGTTTTCATTTTTTTTTTCTATCCAGCAAATGGAACAACATATTCTATTAATTTCTTCCTTTAATTCTATTTTTTGCTTTATTATTAATTTAAATCTGATACGAAATACGTAAGTGTATGCTTTTAGTAATTCCTCAAAAATAAATTACTTCAATTATTGTATCATTTTATCACTATTTAATTTTTTTTTTCTACTCTTATTGCTATGTTATTATTACCACTATTATTATTGTTATATTATCATCCTCATTAATATCACTGTTCTTACTATTATTACGACTATTGTTGCTATTACTGCTATTCTGATTATTGTAGTTGGAGAGTAATAATAATGACATTTTACTGAAAATTATTTACTGATGTGACGAATATCCATCTCATGTAATTCTTGGATCTTAATTGTACGTTAATGCACATGTTTATTAGGTCAGAAATGATGACAGAAGAAAAGAAAGGAGAGAAAAGGGGAAGGAAAAAAAGAAGGCAGGAAAAAAATTTTATTAGAAAGTTATATAAATTTAGAAATTCAAAAGATTTTCCTTAAAATCCTTTTTGGTTTTTTCTGCCATTGCTTTACATACTTCAGTTATCTATTGTCACGAATTTCTTTCTAAATAATTTTATTATTATTGTTATTATTATTATTATTGATTATTATTATTGCAAAAAAAACAAGGAAAAAAGAAACTTGTCAAATTATTAAATTGCTAGTATTAAGTGGTGAGTAATTGAGTAAGTAAATTTTAATCTCTATTAGTTAGTCTCGAGAATGATTTTATTCTACCAATAGTTTGGGGCAAATCTAACGAAATGGGTTTGAGCAGCCCATGGGGAGTGTATGTACATATCAACATATACTCGTGATTTTAATTGGCTACAGCGATCATTTTCATTCTGCCACTAGAATACTTTTATTTTTTTCTTTTTATTTCCTTCCTATTATTTTAGAAATATGTTCATTTTCAGCTATTCATCGTATCATATCATTTTTGATAGATAAGATATCCATCTCAGCTTTCGTACATTGCCAATATTAAAGATTTAATGACATAACAACTGAAAATTAATTAATAATTTGTCACAGATAGTTGGAATCAAACAGTTTCTTAGACTGCCAAATCTTAAATTTGTGGGTCATTTGGCTTCATGAAATAGTTCATGAAAACACTAAAGGCAGAATATGCAGGAATAGACGAACAATTATTTCATATTATAGAACAAATCTTGGAACCCTTTAAATGTTTGATAAACTGCAATTAATTATTTATATTTCAACAATGATAATAATAATGACAACGATAATAATAATAATAATAATAATAATAATAATAATAACGATGATGATGGTAGTGATGATGATGACGTTGACGATGATGGTAACAATGCTAGTGGTGGTGACGGTGATGACGACAGTGTTGTTGGTAGGTGATTCGAAAATGTTTACCATCGATTTCAGTTGGTTTTCATTCGTTTATGTGACATTGGTATGAGACTGCACCCATCACCAGCAATTATGCTATGTTCTATGCATGATGAACGCTGGTCATCTTTACTTAACATATTGATATTTGAATTTTGCCATTTCATTTATCCAATTACTAACATAAATAAATTATTTGATTGATTTTAATTGGTCCACTCGGTTTATTGAAGAATTTGTTGCTAAAATTTATATCATTTAATCATGCATCATTTAATAACGTTTGATTTTCTGTTCTGATTTATATTTTGATTGTAAACATTGATAAGTTCAAATAATTTGTATAACATGGGAATTTTAGGCCATAAATCATCGACTAGTACCAGATCATTAATGATAATACCAAAATGCTTAAAATCTGATGTTGCAGTCAACTGTTATAAGATTATTATGATAAGTAATATCATTTTTTGTAAATCATCACCAGTATTTCATATTACAATAATAATAACAATAATAGTAATACCATAAGTGATCATTTATATCTTTATGGAATAATTGGACTAATTCTTTCAGTCACCAATCTCCAAATTTAATCATGTATGCTAATCGCATGCATCGGTTACTTAATCTGTTTTGATTAACTTCTAAATAACTGTGATACAACTCGCTTATTACAACACGTAGTTTTTACGTAACCTTTACGTAACATTTATTGTAATTGCATATTTATGCATTTGTTTATTGATTTTACTTTTTTCTATCTAATTAAATTTTAAATTAAAAATGGAAAAGGCAAAAGTGTGAAAGTGAATTTATGTTGTTGTTGTTGTTGTTGTTGTTGTTGTACG